ATAGCTAGAATGTTTAGAGTGTTTAGAATTCCTCTTTAAACTCTTGAGTAGGTGCTTATTTTAAAATACATTTTAAACTTTTATATTTATAAAAACAAAGGCATGTGAAATAAAAGGTTAAAGCTCTCGGGTTTGATCAATCCCTTAGGAATGAGCCGTGCATTCAATTTCATTAGGCAATGTTTCGAGGCGAGTGAATGCATATCTGGCTTTTACAATGACTCGCGGTGGCCTACCGATGTATCGAGCCAGTTACTGCTATCCTCCCAGGCACGTTTAGTAACAATTTGCCGACCATGGAGGGATGGAAGGCTTGGTGGACCATGTGCGCGGGAATCGATTCCACGTGTGTGTTGCAGGGCGCCTCCGACCACTGCACCACATTTTTGTAAAATATGTGGGAGTAAAAGACCTAAAAAGTTGTTTAATGTAAAAAGAATTGTAAAGTGGCTAGTCTAGTAATAACTCTTTCTATGAGCGATTGTGACTTTCTGAGGCATCATTGAAGAATTTAGGAGAAACAAAAAACGACTAAATCTTCGCAACTCCATAATTTTGTGTTTAGGTCAACATAAACGTTGTCCTTAAATGTAATCAAGCAAAGATTTTTTTTCGCTGTGTATATGGAAGTAATTTGGGAGCGAATCCTCCCTCACTGGATGAGGACGAACAACCGTAAACAATTTCCATGGCGTCTCTAGGAAATGAAGAAAAGAAATGAACTGAATATTTACTCGGCTGCCTATTCTTAATGTTATTCATCTGGTATATTAAATGCATTTTTTACGTTATAAAAAGTGATTTATTCTACTTATTAAGATACTTTTTTGGGTTTGCACCTTGACATGGTGGAGATGTTCCTTAATGTCGCAAAGTGACATAAGAGAATGAGTGGTTAAGCGTCATGTGTTCTCAATTGCTTAAGGACCCAGTGTGTATTCGAATCCATTCATAGTATCGTAAAGTGACCGAACGTGCGCCTCTGCCACACAGACAATGACTTTCCAAGGCTTATTATTTGTGAACTCAGTGTTTTATCCTCAGGGATATTACTGGTACTATGATGAAGACGTCAAAACGTTTAACCAAAAAAAAATGTAGCATACAGCTGTTAATAATTTTTCTTTTCTAAAAACACTAATAGAAAATTTCGGCGGGGCAGCATTTAAAAAATTTCAGTGGTGGCTCAAAAAGAATCAACCAAAGAACGCCACCGAACCTCCAAGAACACATTGCTCACTTATCATCCGCTCAGCAAAGGTAAATTTTATATTAGATCCTTTCTTTGAAAGTTCAATTTATGCAGTCATGTGCCAGACTTCAAAACTTTCGCCTAAGGGGAACCACGTTCTTGCAAATGAGAGTTATGATCACGAGTATGAAGGAAGCCAAGTGTCTGAATTCGAAAGCGTTACGACGATTTTTATTTGAACTTAAAGACCACGTTCTAAATGTGCTTTTCGCAACCTATGCTACAAAATGGCTTCAAAACGTGATCATCTCTGACAAGTGGAAGGCCTTGTGTACGATATTGTATTCTCTTCAATTCTATTGAAGAACAGTAACCAAGGAGATCAACTTTGCAACTAGCGACCGTATTTCGTGTTGACTCTGCCTTAGAATCACCTCACAAACCCTTTAGAAGAGTGGTTCTTTTTGTAGAGACTCGGTCTGAGCATTTAGAAACAAAGAAAAAAAATGATGAGGAGGGTATACGAAAGAAGGACCTCTTCTGAAGGGAAGCTACTGACCAGATGCTAAACCGAAGACTACACTTTTTGCGGTACTTTCCTTGATAGTGGACATACTAGCACTATGCTAATTTTTGTCGGTTCAGAAACGCAGAAACCAGACAGGATGCAATTACCCCGAACGGCTACCACCTGTTTATGAACAAACATAATCGTGGTTCATATCAACGAGCCTAGTTCGATTTATGCATTACTAAGCGATATTGGCAAACATCACTCTACACAAAAAGTCTATCAACTTGGACTCTGGTTCTCAAGAAACAAAACCACTTGAAGTGGTCTAAACTTCGCGCAACTTGCTAACACAAGAATTTCGTATATCCAATTAAAAGTAAAGTTAATCGTTAAATGACTTTAGGTGAAGTCCATTTTTAGTTTCCTAACAGGGGCTATAGCTCTGGTCCTACTTTCTCACCGGTAACGAATTCAAAACCCGCAATAATTCGTACTTAAAGTGAACTCCTAAATACTCATAATGGCATGCGCGTCCTCATTTACTGTAAAGCTCCTAACACACTTCCAATCCACTTCATTGCATTACATCGAAGGCATTTCTTGAAAATTGTCTTATTTGGTGTGCTGGTTATTTTACGACTTGAAGATGACTGGTCTTTTTATCAGTGATGAGACATTCAACGCTGCTTGTCACAGATCTTTACCGTATCCAGTCGACGGCCCTTGTGAATCGGAGAGAGGATAGCATCTCTATGACAAGTTTTTTTCCAGAACACTAGCAATCCGAGTGTCAAGTAGACCAGTTAAAAATGCTATGTAATAGGCCAAATTCTTCGTCAAAACAATGACTAGAAGAATGCTGCTAAAAATTCTCTCGGCAGAAGAAACTACTAGCAGTAAGGACACCTTGAGAAGGAGCAGAAAAATTGTTTTTAGCAACTTTTTTCTTTCATTTAAAACAAAGTGCTAAATTTATTTATTATTAATCATAAATAATATGGAAAGACATACGGCAAAATGGATGCTGATCAAACCCGTGCAATAACTATGGCAGATCGAAGTTGTTTAAGAAATCCGCCGGTAAATGGACATACTTCAAATTGGGTGGCTCAAGGGTTAAGCCGATTTGTGATACGGTGCTTTGTATCCTTGAAAATAAGTCTGCCTCAAATTTACGTATTACAAGAAAAAGCATAACGAAAGCGTAGACTCAGGTGCTTTGTCACCCCGCTACCGATCATCGTCCCTTACGTGTCGTTACATATCACCACGTCATATCACCACTTCATGATCTTACCACTTTTTTTCTACAATATAGCAAGGTAAATTGAAAAGAGAATCGACCTTTCCATTTGTGCTTTAACAACTTCGGTCCAGATGTATTGGATGTTAATAGATTTTTTTTCCTTAACGTTTAATGATCAACTACGCGTTATAACACGCGCAATAGAAAGGACGATACTAGGAGTCTCCCGCACCCCGCAAGTGATAGAAGGATCCGAAGTCTCACCCTTTTCCAATGATCAAGACGAAAGACACCGCTCTAGTCTCCAAGCTGTAGAAGATAAGGCTAACCCAACACATAATGCGTATGAATGACAACCAATGGACAAGAGCCTTTAGTGACTGGGTTCATCGACATGTCAAACCTACTCCAGCAAAGCCACCGATTCGATAGTCAGATTACTCAACGATAACACTAGAAGAAAGATACGATGCTCAATGAGTTCCTATAGCGAGTAGAACCCATTGGGCAACTCTTGTACGCGGTAGGGGTTTGCTGAAACTCGGTGGAGTCACTCGACGAACAACGATGAACCAGGTAATAAAGGTGAACGTTAAATGGTGAGACTCTTTTTTTTAACATAATGAATTCACTGTGTTTTTACATTTTCGTTTTGAGACTTTCTAGTAGTTAATATTCTGCCATACTCTGGTAAGAGCATTCATTTTAAAATATTCATTTCACACTCTACGCTTAATGTTAAAAGTTGTTGGGTGGTTTGATCGAACGATTTCATTTTCAGCCATTTTTTTCTACCTAGCTCTCTGAGAGGCCCGCAGAACAAGGGCTTCCGTGGGGCAGTGTGTAATGCGCGAGCCCCTGGAAAGGGAAATCGTGGTTCGATCTGGGCCGAGGTCCAGGTTTTGCGAATACCTCAGCATCGTTGTGGTTGTTTTCTGCCATTATTTCCCTACATCCTGCAAACAGATAATGTTTGCACGTTTCTAAGCATGGTTAACGTAAAATAAAAACGTTACTATAGTTTCGCACCTCAGTTGATTGAAATTCTTTCGTTCGAGCTTCCGCTAGCCCATTCTTTGTTCAGTAGAAGGAAAATCACAGAATACTCTTTTAAATGATGGTATCGCGATAGAGGAAGCATTCCTCACTATCTAAACATCCAAAGATGGCTTAGACGCATTATATTTAAGTCATCATGATTACCAGAAATGAATTGACTTTGGGTTCTTTGGGTTCATGAAGAAACATTACAATTTCTGAAACATTTCTTTTTTAGCTGACAGTGAGGTACCAATATCGAAGAAGTATAATACGAAATAAGAATTTTTTCCGCAATTGCCTATCTCTGTGGATCGAAAGAAGGCTTCCCGCTAGATTTCTTCCAAGGCGATGGCAGTTCCTAACATAGCTTTGCTATTAATAAGCTTTTCGGTAGAAATAACCAACTTCTCAGCTTGAGTGACTTGCCGGAAGAGCGAACCTCTTCTGTTCATCGCAATCTAACGCTCGTGATCAACCCTGTTCCACGGTAAAGTGCTAAGCCATTATTCTCACATTACATTATATGACTCGATTCGGTTTTTTCTCTCAAATTTTAGTGCAGCGTAGTACTCTTTCGTCAAGATACTTGAAAACTTTTCGTTTAATTAAAAGTGTAATGCAAAATGAGAAGAAGATGCTTTAAAAGAGAGCCGAACTCGTTTTTTTCAGACCTACTGTGCGTTCCTCAAGGGACTGAATTCATCGAACGACATATGTACTTCACCATTTGCTTATAGGACTAGATCATTTTTCGTTCTAAATGCATATAGTGCCTTTTGTTTGTTCATAAAAGCGGCGGTGTTACTATTCCGTTAAACGTTATTATGGCCATTCATTTTCGTTGCCACTCATTTTATCGCTTTTGTGACGTTTAAACGAAAAAACACAGTTAGACGACTATTTAGACCAAAATGAATACATTAATGGGTTTTATAGCGGAACTAATCCAGTGGAGATGAAGTGACGATCGCATGAGTGAATCATTGAAGTCCAAAGAAATGTGCGAAATGGGTTCGATTCCGCTCAACGGCGCCACTTGGCTTGCCGACATCGTCGGTACATTGCATAGTGGCTATGCACACATTCATCCCTACATAGCCGTAGCGCTTTGTCTTGCCGGTAAGCACATTGATTTTCTTTATACTGTTTGTATTTTACCTATCTTTTTTGGGGCACCGGTAACACCACGGCTACACATCCCCAGCAGCGTTGGATCGAGCCAATTTCCAAATAAAACCAAAGCACAACGAAACTGCAATAAAATCACTGTGATGCTGAGATATTTGCGAAACATAGAGAGACTGAGAGAAAGGCGATACGAAGAACCCGCGTGATGTGGTGTAAACAGGTTAGCCCCCGGAAAGGGTAATAGTGTGTTCCATTCTCACCGCAGACACCTGCGGTTCGGAACTTTGGAAATATTTCAGCATCATTGTAGCTGCATTACACATAACACCTTGATGTGAAAAATTGTGTTAGGCAGTATATAAAAAGCTAGTATTATAAGGACATATAAAAAACCAAACCCTTCTTCCTCCTGGATCGCGGTGTTAGGTACCAGAGTTGTTTGTGAGGACAAGAAGACCACTGACTTGACACCTCGTTAGGCCTCTGCGAACGACTTTAATGCCAAACTGTGCTACCTCAACGATTTAACGAATGGAGTCACATGTATGAAGCATTCCTAAAGGGCTTACCAGTGCTAGGCATATTGTCTTTTCAGCCATCTTTTTTTCTCTTCAAACAGCATTCAACAGGTACTCCTGTCGAAGGATTCACAACAAAGCGCTTTTTTGAGCTCTATCGGAGCTGTGAAGTTCCATAGTGAAGTCATAGAAGTGATTAGTTGTGCCTTAAAAAACGGTTGTTTTGGTGCTGTTGTCAGTCTCAAATCAGAAACTCTCCTAAAGGTTTTCTCGTAATTTAAACAACTCCGACTATTCAGCGTCTTTGAATTGACCCTAAATCCGCTGGAAAACTACCCTGCACAAATGAATCTGGCATGATCGATTGCAAATTCGTTAAGGAGACGAAGACCACTGTTATGAGTTATTGGCTATTGTAATATTTGTTGATTGACGGTTGAAGTTTTTAGAATGTTCTCGAATCTCAAGACATTCCGTCTTAATCCTGTACTTGTGCAACTGGTTATTTCACTTTGTAGTAACTTCAAAACAGGCTTTTAAGAAATTTGAAAAGAACAAGACCTTTAAGAAATTGTCTACGACTTTTTTCGAAAAAATTTGATTTCGGAAGCATTGATTACAGTAGCTAGAGCTCTATTATAGTGGTGCCTAAAGAAAGGTTACCATAATTTCTTCTTCAGGAAACTCTCAACAATCTAAAATTCCTAAATATTCTTTGACTGATAGGTGGGCAGAAGTATTACAATCGTAGTTAATCAACATGATATCATGTCCTTTTCTTCGCTGGAAAACATGGAAACTTACCCTGCTAGATTTTGAGCGATACATAGAGTCGGAGAGGGCGCCTGTGGCGCAGTGGTCGGAGGCGCCCTGCAACACACACGTGGAATCGGTCCCAACGCCCATGGTCCATCAAGCCTTCCATCTCTCCCTGGTCGGCAAATTGGTACCAGACTTGTCTGGGAAGATAGTAGCACCGGCTCGATGCATCGATAGGTCACCGCGAGTCATTGTAAGGGCCAAATATGCATTGAATCACTTTCAAACGATGCTTAGTGATGTAGAATGCATGGCGTATCCTTCAAGGGTTGATCAACGCCGAGCGCTCTATCCTTTCTATTTTATTCTTTATATATCCTTTATTCTTTTTATTTCACAAAGATTTTAAATTTTAAACAGACTTTACCCTAAACACGATACGAATCCTCGTAAAAATGGATACAGCGTTGGAGTCCTTCTTCCATAAGATCAAAATCCACAGATCGAAAATAATAAATGATCCTTCCAGTTCTAAAAACCAAGAGTGGTAACCTGCAGAAGAAAAATATTTTTTAAAGTAAGACTTTAAAGACCTTGTAGAATTAAAAGAATCAACAGCGAGTTTAAGAGGCGTAAGAACAGCTCAAGAAGTAACAGATGAAAGGATTTCCATCTCTCTTTTCACTGATGAGCTAATACTAGTTTGTTATAAAAATTTATTCTGGCAATGTTTTGGCGAATATATTTTCTTCATAGCAGCAATGATTCGAGTCGGTTGTCCACAGCCGTTCGTTCTCGCGATGTAAGTATTGGAAAGGACCTCACATCGGGTAGAATGTTTTGCAATGGAACTCCACTCAAGTAAAGTAACTTCGAAAATGAACGGTTAGAAACGACCAACTCGAATCATTCATCACAATCTGAAAAAGACGAATGCGCTGAAATTAGCCGAACAAAAGTTCTTTGTCTATTTTGTGTTAGCTCATCAGTGAAGAAAGACATTGATCACCCATATTGGGATTAGATGAAAGCCGGATTTCAAATGACAAGCTTTCGAAAGTGTATTTCAGACTTTCTTACATAATTACTTAATTAAAATGTACAAAAAAGTCACATAAGGAAAAGTGAAAATTAGAAAGTGACTGGGAAAAATCGTCAGCTAATAAACGCCTTCTAGTTTCTAGACATCTCAGACCATTTTTTCCTAGCAAATGGCTTCGTTTATACTTCATGATGTCTCCTAGTTCAAAGAAAAAGTAAGAAAGTCCTTCATTTGCTTGGAATTACGACACAAACTGGATTCAGTCATAATTTTAATGATGCTGAGATATTTGCAATACTCCGCACCGCAGGTTTGATTATTAAGTATGAAGAAAAACATCGGAATCAGATTTGGTAAAAAAAATATAAATTCTTTTAAATGCTCCAATTCGTCCTGTATGCTTGGTGTTTTTCTGGTCTGCAGTGCAGTTCCTCCCAACGGTTTACCGCCTCATCGTCGCTGAGAGGTGTTCCTGGGTGTCGGACTGCGATATACCAGGGAGATTCGTCCCCCAGCAGGGTCTTCCAAGCTAAGAAGGAGTCCAGCGTTTCCACCAGGAAGCTTAGCTAAGAATAAACCAATACCAGGATCCATCACCGTCCTGGTATCAATGTCGCATGGTGGTAATCTCCTCTGATCCACAAGGACTCCAACTGCCCGTGATGGTGAAGACCTGGGGCAGACTTTGGCCAGCCTGACCTGAGGATTTCAGGGAACCACAATGGCTTAACCAGCAAATCTCCAAATTATGGTGATTGTGCTGGATCCCGCACAACCATTGAGTGAGGGCCGTTCAAGTATCAAGTAAGTGCAGTTCAACAAGGCCCAACTCAGTTGCTTAACGTACCATATTTAACTCTAGCAGTTAGCTTAGAAGTAGATATCGGCACAGTTTTTTTCTGGGCCTGGAATCATCGAAATTTAGGGCTTTCATTCATGCGTAGGTGCAACAAAGTTTCTTAAAACTACAACTGTCATCACATTGTAGCGAAGTATTATAAAATTCCTAATGATTTTGAACGCTTTTGTTTCTGTTGCCCGTTTGCACTGTGTTGTATTAGCTTAGATGTATTCATAAGTACTGAGGTTTTCGTCAAGTAAAATCGAGGTCGAAAATGAGCTTGACTACCTGATCACTCCACTAAACGTAGGGTTCTAGTAGCGTAATAAAATGCCATCCAGCACAGACCAAATGATAGTACAAACTAAATGCATTCACATTTATCCAAAATAAATAGCGTGTAAGGAGAGCGCTTGTGACCAAGTGGTTAGAGGTGCCGTACAACACAATGGCTCGGTTGTTGGCTTCATGTCGCTCCCCGAGTTCACTAAGCTTTCCACCCTTCCGGGTTCGGCAAATTTTTATAGACCAAATATGAGTCCATGTACCTTTATCTGGGCAATGGGTGGTACAAGGATAAATTGCTCGGCAGTGATATGGGTTCAATGGGTGCGTGTAGAGCAGTGGTTAGAGGTGCTCAGCAATACACATGGGATTCGACCCAGTGCTCAAGGTCATTCTTCATGCCCTCCAGAGTCCGAAAATTGATGCCAAAATTGTATGGGAAGGTAGTAGCATTGCTCGACTCCATCGGTAGACCACCAGGAGACAGCTTAAGCCCAATATGCACCCTATCACCTCTAACAATACTTGATGAGGTAGAATGAGTGAAAGCATCCTTCAGAGATTGATCAACGTTCAAAGTTTTATCCTTTATCCTTTATACCGCTTATGAAGTTTTCAGAGGAGTATCATTAAACAACGTCTTTAGAAAACCGTACCTGGTTTTGATATGAGTAATTGTTGAGAGGCAAGTACGAAGAAATTCGCCTTCCTAGCCAACGTTGAGTTATATGTTACGACAATTTTCTTAGAACCTTGGTTTCTATTGAAATATTTAAAACCACAAACCTAATGGGTTTGAAACGAAGGCCTCTTAGTATTCTGAACTGGTCGCCTTTCTTTTCTTTGCATCAAGAACTCTGAATATTTCGATTCTAGGAACAGCGATGAATGCCGTCACAGTTGTGGTGTTCACACGACCGTCAATGCTTTCTCCAATCAACGCCATTCTATGCGCGGTAGCGATCTGTGATATTTTGGTGATGACATCCGTGTTGGTGTTCGTCTACCATTTTCTTATATCGGCAACTTTTAGGTACGATAAAAACCAATGTTACGATATTTCGGTATAAAAGCAGATGTTTTGAAGTTAGAAAAACACAGCAGAACTCATATAGCCATTTTTTTACTGAGGAGGGATAGAAACTTCGTGTAAATTTAAACCTACCTGTAGCATTTAAGCATGTTTTCTGCCTTTTTTCTACGGCTACCCTCTTTCTAAATACGAAAAGGTTCGAAGGAAATTGATGACGTTTTCAACTTATCTTTTAAGGGCGAAGCACCTAATTGGAAAGCTATGATTTGTGGCAAGGATGAATAATGATTCAGCTATGATCTCCTCTCGACTGACACAATGAGTGATGGTCTTATAGATTAATAGGTTATACGTGAAATAAGTGCAAATAGCAGTTTTCGTAGAAGAGGACGAAGAGGAGATCTAGGACGATATCCTTTATTAACCATCATGGTAGGGTAACTGCTCTTTCAGGACGTCTAATGCTTTTGACTCTGGTTTTGCAGTTGTCGAAATGTTGGATTCCAACTGAAATTTTTAATCGCAATCCACCATTCATTTTCTAATTTATCCATAACTGCTACTTTCTCCTTGTATTTTTATCTTCCATCTCTTTTACTCCCTTCATGCTCAGAACGAAGTAATGCCTCTTAGTGGGTTTACGCACTTTCGAACATGAATGATGTCTTGTCGTATTCCGTGTATCGGTTTCCCTTGTATTTTCGTGACTGAATTAAATAGACCATCGTTTATCGTGCCTTTTGTTGATATCTTCCAGAAAAAGTGGGCCAACTACATTGGATTGGTCTTTTGAGCCTCACTGCTTGAGATTTAATTTTAGAGAAATAAAACTGTGCAGGAATAGGTGGCGGTCCAATCTCGCCTAGAACTTTATGAAAACAGCCACGTTGGTTAGGCACAGAGCTTTCAGTTTGCTATAATGTCCTCTATTTCGCTATGGTGCCCTCCATTCGAAAGGCTTTCGTGGCTAACGGTGATGGGAGGGCTTTAGGCGTCTGAACTACCCTTATTGGTCTTGGTCATCACGACAGACTTATACAGCCACTCGTCAATTACGTTGTTCCAATTCTTCAACGAAAGTTTGTAGATCTTCAGAGCTACCTCTGTGATCAATCTTTGCCTAAATACCACTATGACAACATTTTTGAAAGAGCATTATTCTACGTAGAAATACTCTAGGTACTTACTTGGATACTTGGACGGTCCGTCTTCACGAGCTGTGCGGACCCCAGCACATACGCCATTCGTTCCTTTCTCTCGCAATCGTAGTCCATGGTGGTGGCCTTCTTCGAGCATAGTAGCGCTTGCGAGTCTCATACCGTGATCTGTAAAACAACTGCAGCTGCGGGTACAGCTGATTAACTTTGTTTACGAATACGTCCGCCCAACGTGTTGGTGGTCGTCCAAGGGGATATTTGCATTCTCTTGGAGTCCACTTTACTGTTCTTTTCGTCCATCTGTGGTCGGTTCTTCTCATTATGTGGCCGGCCCATCTATGTTTTTATCTATCTTTTGGGTCCAATACTCTAGATATACATGAAATATCCTGATCTCATTTTCGCCTTAGCTGGAAAGTGGCGATAGCTCTCGGACTTCACATATGATTTCAACTTTCAACTTCTGTTTTGGGTAATCGTGTTTGCGATGGCTCCACTCTATTTCCTTGTGATACAATGAGCAGTCTTTCCGCATCTTCATTAACGCGACTTAATATGTTATGCGTTTCTTTTGAGTTAGTTCGATGACACCATAGACTTCGGAAAAGTCGTATTTTCTTTCCTCTTATTTTCATTATCCCATAGAAGCTCCTAGGGTCAATTTATGTTGAAAGAATAGATAATCGTCATGGCGTATTTTTGTGCTTGACAACGTCACCGTATTAGGGGTATGTTTCTGCAATAAGGCGACAGGTAGGTTTTTCGAACATTGAAAATACACTGCATAGTGCAACAAACGGAAAATTTTGTCGAACACACACATATTGGCATTAGGGGGTCACTACTTTTGTCAGAGATATAGAACAGCGCTTGAATGTCTCTTTAGGTGTGATGTAGAAGATTACGATAGAATATGGGCGTACTTTTTGTTCGCACATTCACAGTGTACTGTTATTTTGCACGCTACCAGCATTTGGCTTACGGTATGTTGTTTTCGCGAGTTTTTCACTGATACTGTTCAAATAGAACACTAATCAACGTAGTTAAATAAGAAAAAAATAATGTGAGGTGAACAAAAAAATGTTCAACCATGACGATGCTGAGATATTGGCAAAACCAGGACCCCGGGCCAGGTTGAACCACAATTTCCCTTTCCATACGCTTGTGCACTACACACAGGGCCACAGAGGTCTTTGCTCTGCATTTACCCTCAGCTAGTTTTTTACGTAACAATACCATCAGCAATCGTTCGCCAGCGGGATTGACCTTTCTCTTTCTCATCTATCTCATGAGTTCGAAACCTTTTAATGATTAGAACACGTGTACACAACTATTCAAAGGCAGTCGATCAAAAGACCCTTCTTACATATCATATGTATAATACCATGAAAGAACAAGTCCCACTCATTTTGGTGATGAGACACTCGAATAAATACCACAAAACGAACTGATTTGGTCTGTTTTTCTCACGGGACGGTTGGAAAACTTTCAGCAAATGGCAATAACCATCTAGGAGACCAGGTGCAAGAATAGATAAATGAGTAATTTGCCCGTCTTTTTATTGCGAGAAGCGTAACAAGCCATTTGACCGAGTTTGTGACCAGCAACTTCACCTGGTTTCAATCGCGAATAGTCAGTAAATTTGCCTATTTGTGTACTGTGTGGTCGTGAAATGCCATCAACCTTAGGAAGTCTTCAATGTACTACCCTCTCATCACGGTGGTAATAATTCTTCTTTTTCATTTTACAGAATTTTTTCTGAAATTCATCCCGATCACCTCTTTCTGGAGGCCAACTGCATTTAAATGTGCAAATCATAAATGTATTTCATATGTTCAATCTGTCATGATGCAGAATACCTGTGCATTAGACTCGTACCTGTAACGTGAAGAAGCTGAGAAAGGGTTGAAAAACTGTCGCTTAACTCGTAGGGAGTTCGCATGACACACTTGCATAAATGCACTATGTGAACCTCCGTCTAGATTTTTGAAACTATACTTTTGTGACGTCGAACCCCTTTGGCAGTCTTCTTCACCGGCTTACTGCCTACTGTGATTAACGGGACGAACGGATTTTCCTGTATGCCAGACCGAGGCATGTAAAATAGCACTGTCCCTGAAAGAGTTGCCCAAGGAAAAAGCAGTTCGGTATGTCTATTTGGAAACTACCAAGTGGTAAGTGTACGCTCAAAACTACAGCTGATCGAGAAAGGTGACAGACACCACAAACCCTACTAACCACAGCAGCAACAGAATTTTACCAGTAGGCATATCAGAAAGACAGGATTAATATGATGCGGTCGTTTTCAAAAGCTCTATTTCTCTTGAATCCACAGACTTTAAAAACAGTCATGACACTATCCACAACGAACATCCGGCACTACTGTTGTTCTATACCTTCTTTTCAGATTTAATGGAAGGTGGCTAAGACTGACACCTGGTTGGAAAACAGCTGGAGCACTGCGATTAAAGAAATAAAGAGGAACACTTAGAAGTAGCCTCATTTAGAAGCAGTGCACTCAGAAATGAGAAGTGAGAGCAATTATCGATGCATACAGGAATCGTTTCTCAGGAGAACATGAGTTCTATCCGATAATCTGTTGTGAAGGCAATACTATTCATACCCAATGAACTTCCACCAAATCGTAGTGAAAAAGGAGGGACGCATTGCCTGGTACAACCTCAGCAATTTCATTACACACAGACAAGAGAGGTATTGTTCCACAGTAACTTACAGCAAAGGCAAGCAAAAAGATGCAGGACCTAAACGAGGAAGGAAGGACTTGTCAAGCGACTTTTAATGCTAGAAAATATCATAAATTGGAATGATTTCCGAAATAAAATTAACGTTCAAAAGAATATTAGACTGCTAGAGGAGAAGGATGAAGTTCTTTAGTGCACTGATTTGTAACTCGGCAGGTTAAATTTCAGGTATTATTAGCGCAAATTCGTGTGTACACTATCAAACGGGCCACATCTGGACCAACAGAAGCAATAACAGCCAAAGCAACTGGTTTTATTGCTCTGGTCACTTTGTTTATCGTAGCAATTGTGAATATTCCAAATTTTATGACATTTGAGGTAAGCTTTATTAGAATAATTTAAGCCTTTAAGAGAACCTCACACGATTATCAAACGATGCTCATTGTTTTAAAAAAAACCCTCATAAAGAACTAACACTGGGAAGAAAATCTTTGTTTGGTGTACTTCTATACGAACAAAGCTGCATAGATGTTAAATATTCGTGATAAATCAAAAATAAGAGACTTCACTAACTTTTTAGCATTTATTGTTTCATGGTCCGACACCATCGCACTATGGTGATCCTAGCACTGCCTGCATTCGATTCCTTTTCTCGGACCCACCATCCAAGAAGATCTTCGGATTTTGTTAGGGTTCAACTGTTGCTCCACTATTTCTTCGTTTTCCTAACGATTGAATGCTGGTCGAGTCCATTCTCCCATGAACTCGAGATAACTTTACTACAGCGTTCCCACGTGGATTAGTGGGAGTGAGCTTGTCCCAGACAGGTACCAATTTCTCGACCTCCGGAAAGATGACAGGCTCAGGGGAGCAGGAGAGCTGGATCAAACCTGCACCTGAGTAGGTTGTATCGCTCACGTAATGAACGGGATCAATAGAACAAGCGCTACCCGTACTCCCATCCCATTGATTTACTCACAATTTCTCTTGGAAAGCAAACCCGTCAACTATACGCTACACTCTTGCCGCTGCAGTGTCTACTGGCGATGTGACGTTACGGCCTGTGACGATGTTAATGAATTCCTCGTTTGTGACCATCCATGAACTCTCTGTATCGTCCGAGGCCCATAGAGTCAATAAGGGATAGGGGAGTCGATGGAAATCGGAGTCGCTGAGGCGAAGTGGTCCCGGAACAGAAGTGGGCGACATCCGCAACCCCAAACCGCGGAGAGATGGACAGAAAAGAGGTGTCGAGACACTACATGGCAGATGTTCCGAGGTCATCGCCAATCATTCGCTCAGCAGATGAGGCGCAAAGTAGATCCTTGGACAATTGACGACTACTTTGCGATCACTTGAGTATTTGAGGAGTTCTGAACGTCATGGTTCCGTAGAAATGACATAGCTCTACCACCCAATAATAAATGTGATCCGCATGAAAAAATCCCCAATATTTAGAGGTTTTTAGAATTGAAATTCTTCAAGCAACTGAAAACAGAATTTTAGTCTTTAAAAATTTCGGCGCAAGCACGACTGTCGCAAGCATGGAACAGGAGAGTTTGTAAAATGTGGTATGGAAAAGATCTGTGTATTTTGCAATAGTTAGTCTCAATTTCAATTAATAAAATTCAATATGAAATCAGCTGCTAAGTGGTTCTTCCCAGTTATCCTTTTTCGAGGCTAGATCTCAACATGCTGTTGAAAATGCAGCGAATATTCTGGGAATCCGAAATGAGGTAGTTGGCAGTCACACGGATGGCGCAGTGCAATAATGATGTCGCCAATACTCGTAACGTCCTTTTCGACCTAGACAGGTCATCAATACCTGTCATACTTTGGGAGTCAGGGGTTTAGTACCAGAGATGTCTCGGAGTCTCTTTTGGATCAGTAAGATCTACGGACGCCCTAGCACGTCCATCCGTAGATTTTAGGAAGAATCGACACGACAAGAATTTGGCGACATTCATAAAGAAAATTGAAAATCTCCAAGCAGTGAACTCATCAACCCACTCACCAGACGAATCCACGCGCCAATTAAAAATTTTTCCGGGATGGTGGTTGCGAGAAAATGAGTCGAACGAAGATGTACTGAGATTCACACAATAAGATGTCGCGTCATGCGAAACGAAACGAACAAGGATTAGCTGGATTAATTAACGTTGTGCTATCGTATATCACTTTGAATAGTCTTGTATTTAAAATCTGCTTGAAGCATTGGAGAGAAATCAGATACGAAGTTAAGTTCATCGTCCACAGATTTGACCAGTTCCTTAATTTAGATAGTGGAAATTGACGCAGAACTATGGTTACCGTGTTTGATGTCCACTTCAATGAACACGTCCGAACAGGCGATGAGCTCATTCTTGGAGTTCAGCATTAATTCTACGGAAAGGCCATCGTTTGGAAAGATTTTCCATGTACGAGCTTCTGATGAAGATTGTTTTCTTTTGAAAGTGAGTGTTTTTCGAAGGTTACCTCATCAAGCATACGCAACAGCAATTCTGCACCTATACGACCGTAATTATTTTTCAAACAGCTTGAAATCATCTCATGTCTTCGTGCTCTTTCAGATTTAGCAATGATGTCATAATGTTTCTTTGCTGTGTATGTTTTCTATGGAACAGGAGAACAGGACTTTCTTGCGTAGGAAACATTCGCCCTGCTCTTTTCGTATGTACGATTTCCTACAGGAAGCGAGAAGTCCAATGGTAGCGATGCTGTTCAATAAGGGCAAGGTGTTCGCTCAACCTTGTCCAGTGCACACTAAGCATCTCGTCCGTTTGGGGTAGGGGAATCGTTTCCAGGTTTCTCTAGAATAATTTCGTCCCTTACAATCCATAATGCTGGCGACTGCGTGTGATGAAGATCTCGGGCCGCTTTAGCGAGGCTATCACATGATTTCAGGGTGAATATACTCGATCGGAATTCAACGACATTCACAAAAAGGTCCGAAATATTAAAGCAGCAGCCGAACCCGTACGACCTTCGAGGATGGTAGATATAAGAAAACGAATTGAAGACGAGGTGTCCTGCGATCCACGCAATACTTCACATCGGATAGTAAAAAAAAGTTCTTTCGTTTTAGATATTTAGGTGGTTTGTCTCACCAAATCGTATAGATTAATAGCTCCTTGGATAGTTAAGCTAACACGAGTTTGATATAGAGATCTATTCGATAAACGTTTCCACTTTTTCGTCTTTATCAGAGTCGATGATCCGAACAGATGGTCCACAGTTGTTCGTGTTCTTGTTGTGGCGTCTTCGTCATCGTACCGAGACAGATCTTTAGTGTAGCACCGCTCCAATAAGACAATCTCACACGGCGGCGCTCTTTTATACAAAAGTTGTTGTTGGTATGACTCTGCCCGCGAGTGATGTTGCACTGGAGGATCCGTCTCAGTGCGACAACTGAGACGCCACATCGGGAATTTTTATGGACCTAATTCAACTACCATTCCTTCTTTTTCTTGATAGCCGTTATCCACAAGGCTTGTCCATTTCAATGATCTCAGCGAACAGTATAGCTGTTTGATAACGACAAAAACCACATTCGCTAACCGTGAAGGTGATGGTCGATGGAGGTTTTCGTGATGGCCAAATTCTATCCATACTCCTTCGTTCTTCCTGTACAAATCATATTTCGTGTTACTCTCTAGAAAAATACGCTGCTATGGTTGTTTGCCTTTTCCTTTTCACTGTTCCAGCAGTTTTAAAAGTTCAAACCTCAGAGAAGTTCAACTGTAGTAAAATTTACCACACTAAACTAGTCAAATAAGAACTCTTATGTAGCATAGGTAATAATAGAGGTCTTTTCTCCATGAGAAAGGCAGACTAGACTTAACTGAGTTCTTAAGCTCTACTCCTGCTTCATTTTAATTTAAATAGCTTTCATAGGTATCAGCATAGGGCTATTCACTAACTTTGTCACTTTGCAGGTTGCATTCTGGGTAAATGGGATCTTCTTCAAGGTCGTGCCATGCACTCTCCTCACCGTCTCCATCATAGCACTGTTGAAGATCATACGTGATGTTTCCCACCGTCGGAAAAACCTCGCATTGGTGAACATTCTTATTTGCGTTATAGACTATGTTCAACGCAAAGTAAAATGATGAATAGAATTTTGATTACTAGAGAGATATACAGGCTTAAATTTGGCTACCGTATCCTTCTAAAGAAATGCGCTTTTGAAGGCATCGTTTGACGAACAGGGTGGTTTGTATATGAGACGTTGAATCCTGCTGATTTACTAACTCATTTGTAAAGTCAATTTTAAATTTCCATACGTCTAGGCATTATTTCTGAATGTTCTATTTCATTCTTTCACATGTTCAGGTGATGAACAAAAGGAGAATGCCCCGAGACCATACCACACCGATGCTCGTCGCCGTGCTTTCAATTTTCCTCATTGCCGAATTGCCTCAAGGTCTGCTGCATGTCTGCAATGCGATCTACTCCAATGAAACATTCTATCAAAAAGTTGGTTCAATTTCTTCCCTGTCTTTTCTTTTCCAACAGCGCAAACCCGTAAAGAGATTGAATTTCTCGAAATGTTCGCTAAAGCTCTGAATGTGACAGTAACGAGAAAAATCGTCCTATACACACAAGGATGCGTGTAACGCAGCGGTTAGAAGTGCCATGCAATACCCATGTTGTCATAGGCTCGATATCGTGCCCTCGGTGAGTTAACGCCACATCCCCTTAGGATCAGCAATGGAGTAACAGGTTTGTCCGGGTGGATGAAAGTACTCACTTGAACGGTAGGCTTCCATAAGTGAAGTACTTAGTCAGCCACCTCTAAGATACTGTATGGAGCAGAATGCCCACCGAACCCTAAGTAAATAAGAAAGCTTTATCCTTAACGTACATCTACGTGTCCGGCTTTTCCCAACTTTATATTCCCCCTGATAATTATCAATTGTGCCCTAATGTGGCTTTCACGAGTAGCATAGTATAAAAATTTAGATATACCTTCCTCTCGGTGATTTAATGGATCTTCTGTCTTTGATCAACTCAGCTGTCAATTTTCTCATTTATTGTGCAATGAGTAGGAAATTTCGAAATGTGTTTATGCAAACATTCATAGCCTGCTTACCGGATCCATTGTATAGGTACGGATTTATTCTCTAAAACCTGTATTCACTAAACTTACTGTCTAAACTTTTAGAAAGTTAATACACGACTGGCCAGCAATAGGCGATCTAGAGGTGACCAGGCCGAAACCATCCGGTCTTACTGATCTTACTAAATCGGAGCAGGTGAAAATTTGCTGCTATAATTTTGAAAGGCACAATCAATTTTTGAACAATTCTAGCTCGCTATGACTTCATCACATCGGGTCTCTGCTACTTCAGTGCTGATCCAGGCGAATTCAAAAGAAAATACATCGAAGATGTACACAGGGAATCTACTTTCAGTTGGTTTGTAGGTTACTCTCTACAATCTCATTTTCTCCATGACTAGAAAAAGTGGGCGAGAATAGGACGAAAACACCTTTCGCAGATCCTTTGCACCGTGCAAGAGTATGCCTTGATGTACAACAAGGCACTGGTCCATTGGCAAGAAACAGTCTTGAAATTCACGAAATTCGCTTGGTTGTTCCTAATTCAGATTCGAACAAGGTAGAAAGTTTCTGAAATTCTTTGATCAATACTGTAAAAATGTCTCTTGAATATTTCTTCAGCGCCAGTTCAAACTCTTCTCCAATCCAATCACGGCGATACGTCGACTGTGGGAATCGGGCACACAAACGATACAGAGCAGCCCTCAACGCAGAATTAACCTTATTCATTGCGAAACACAGTACTGATTTTCTACGTGGAAAAGTTCTGCTGTACTGTATCTAGTAGCCAATGAGAAGAAATGCTCACATAGGATGGGATTTATGGAGCATCTTCTCTTTTCAATGCATCGATGACACCTTCCAGGTCCACAGTTATTCTCAAAATAAAAACAAAACCACTGAAAACTCCTGATACACCATTTTCAGGGTTCCAGAAGTTTAAAAAGATTTCAATCACATAAGAAGGGGACCTGGATGGCAGCATTAACCATTCCAAGTTATATAAGTTTTATGGGTATGTCAAAGATTATACCATATGTTTGGACTGTGCGGGTAATCAGATATGTTATTAGTGTTATACTTCACGATTGAAATAAATTATAGTAATTACGACAAATAGGACAATCTTTTCGTATGAAGGATCTCGAACCGATTAGAAGAAAGGCTGTATGAAGTTTCCCCAGAGCGCGAATCAAAGTACACTAAATATAACTGCTTGGTGAAGGGTGCTGGAGATGCTTCTGGATCGACTTCGTCTTTCCGAATACGTTGTCATATTCATATATATGTGCATAGATTTGCCGTATATGTGAATTGTATCTTAAAAATCGATTTAGACGATGTCGTACAATCAAGTGAGTAGTTGAGTGGGGATGTCAAATTACGCATGGTTTCTTTGTATTTCTTTAAAAATTTGAAAACAATCATGTACAGCTTCACACCAATCAGAAGCGTACTTTAGGACTAGTACACCTAATACACTAGTGGAAAGCTTTTGAAGACGTTGACAATTTCTTAAACAGTTGCCCAAGACCGAAATGAAGTGCTAAACGGACGTAGCAACCAAAATAAAAGGCCCATATCTGTCGATTTCAATATTGTTTAATATACACGTTCTAATTATAACACGACACCGGTAATGCACCGAAGTAGTAAGAATGAAAACGTTGGCAAAGACTCAGCTTGACAAAAACTCAGAAAAACTGACCGCCAACAACTGACACATAATGACCGATATGAATTCGTTTCAACTCGTATATGTGGCCTAAAATAATCTTGTTCTTCGATTTTGTACGAATGCGTCCCACTTCATTATGAACTTTATTGACTGAAATCAAGATCTGTAGACTCAACAGGTTTTTCCGAATGGAAAACAAGCTCTATCATAAATCCCAATTTTATGGAAGCGAAGAAGAAATGTGATTTCGGCTAGATGATGGTGTCCCCGATTGCGCCGCTGATACTTACATTTGAAATGCGTACGGAAAAGTCTTAAGAGTTTAAAAAATTGAGACTGAAATAATATTTTGCAAAAACTTTATATATTTCGCGAAGAATGGAGCGAAGTTATCCCTATAAGACAGTCAAATTTTCAGGCTCTCAAGTACTATGGTTAAGGAAAAATTTTCGGCAGTTACTGAAAACGACATATCGGTCATTATGTGCTAATTGTGAAAAAAAAAACACAAAAGTACATGAAGAACATAAAACTTAAAAATCAATTCCGATAGTTCAAAAGCCAATAAAAAATTACACGAACCAAGAGGCGAGATACAGTTCGATTGCGAATTTGCCAAAGGACCCGCGTGGGATACAGCAGAATTTCCTGGTAATGACTGAAGGAAATAAACGTGTGCTCATGAGAGAAAAAAAACACAAACACTCAGTCACTGAAGGCAGCAGGGAGTTAAAAAAAACAAATCGGAGAGCTTCGTTAACACATATCATTGTTGCTAACAGACGGTGATACCTCCTTGCCTTTTACCGCTTCCACGACTTCACGACGGAACTTCGCGAGATTCTGCGTGAATATGTCTTTATTTTTCACTGCAAGCGACATTTCAACGCCATCCATCAATCCATCAAATGCCTAAGGCAAATCACTTACAGACTAGTGAAAATGAAAACGTACCATGAAAAAATTTCTGCCTCATTAATGTGATAAAGCTTTTCGCATACAGGTTAGCTGAGAGTTATCCTTTGGTTTTCGGTATTATAAAGCCAACCAATGGTAATTGCACAAAAATTCCTAACATGCGTAATCAAAACTCGTCCATCCTTTATATTCTTATTGAGCAAACATGAGTTGTTATTTTATTCCTTATTGTGGAAAGACATATTTCGGCGCATTTCGCCATCCTCAGAGCCTGGAATGGTCGAGTTTACCGAAATCTATCCTGCCGTACAACTCGATGTCTCCACGTGATATAATCGTTGGAACACTAATATGAAGCGATGAGTGTGCAAGGAAGCTGTTCTGTGTTCAATGTGATTGAAATCTTAGTTTAGCATTTTCTACGTTTAGTTATGGTGTTTGGCCAAGTTAATTGCAGTTGACTTGACCTTTCCAGGCTCTGAGGAATGCGTAATCCACGGAAACATCAGTTTTTCCGTAATAATGAATAAAATGACACCTCATGTTTGCACAACGAGAATATGAAGAATTATTTGATCAATGCTAAGCTTAACAGAAAGTCGGTTGAGGACCATTCATCTACCATTTTTCTGGTGTAATTTTTACTACGTGCCCACTATTGGCCTCAAATTGGGTTAAACGAGTGATTCAATGACAGGGAAGACACTTGCTATAAAATGTAACAAACACAACAGCACAGCAAAGCAAAAATGTATATCACCTGCTCGAATACCGCATGTCTATCCTCCGGTTGCTGGGATATAATTTCACGTTTGAAGTTAGTGAATACCTCTTCCTAAATTCAGTTCTATGAAATAATTATTGTAATGAACTAAAAGTGTGAGAACACTTCACCTGCAAAAGGATAAGCCCTAGTAACGGACGAGAAATACTCCATTGACATTTTACTTCTCCAAACATTAGTGAAGTCATCATAGATGTTAAAATCTAAAGTAGTAGACCCTTCCTTACGGTTTAAAAAAATATATTCTTTCACTTCAGTAGTTTAGAAAAAAACTATGCATGAACTCACGTCAGACATGAGTTGTGGTTGGCTTTTAACGGCAACCAAACACGCGTCACCTTCTGGCTCCATGCCCACCTTAACAAATTCAAATCCTAGTGAGAACCACTTCCACTTATAAATACCTCTCTACCCAGAATAAACCAACCTTAGCAACCGGATGAGACGCTCTAGTAAACCTTTTGTATAGATAATTTAGGATGCTGTCCAAAGCAGAACACGCAGATGTTATCACAACAGCATCTGAACTCGGGTGAAATATCTAACTCTCAAAGGATGCTGCATGTGAGTCAGCTACCTAACTACCTAGTGATGTAACACCAGTGTGAACCGAACGAAGAATAGCCGCAAACACCTCAGGTTGAAGGTTTGACACAAAAGCGATGTTATCCTGCACAACATTTTCCAGAAGATTGTAGTAATTTTGTGCAATCTTCGTGTACGACTGAAAATTACGTCTCTACATGACTAACCTATAATCAAAAAAAACTTCTTATTAGTGAAGCAAATAACTAGGTCTCGTAATAAAAGGTTATTGAGTCGATCACAGCAGCTGAAATCCCAAAAACTTGGAACGACACCATCGACTTACATGGAAATCTTCCTCGGGTATTTTTAGAAACAATTTAACGAACATATTAAGAGAATCTTGAAGGCAAGGATCACCGTACAAACGGAATACTCCTAAACGAAACCGGATAAAATGGGACATATCAAAAAGCATAGGTGAAAAATCCTTGCGAACTTACCAAATGGTATATAGGCTCCAATAAGGGCACATTTGAGAACATTAAATATGATCCCAATATTCTTATAGCGCTCAGCATAGGCACGCTCTTTTGGTACATCAGGCATAACAAGAATACGATTACCTGAAAGTATCAAAACAGATATACTAAGTTCTGCTACATGGAAAAACCGTTCTTCAATTGATACACTGGTGACGACGCCTAATCCTCCGCCGCCAAAGCAGTGAGTGGTATGTGATTCATATCAGCTAAAATGGTCCTACATAAAATGCAACTCGCTTCTTGTGTTCTTGTTTCCGCCTCATAATTCGTTTTTTCTCCACCCTTCATGGCCATTTTCTGTCTCTCATGAACTGCAAATCCTCTATATTCTCTAGTCATCTTGCCATTGCTTTCGATTAACTAGTATTTTGTTAGTCGGCTGTAGAGTAAATCTATTTTTATACATTTCATAATATAACTATGCTCATTATGACAACTTCAAAAGGACGACGAAACAATAGCTATTAAAGAGAACCGAGTAGTCATAGGTCGATGTCTTAAGGTGTGAAACTTTAGGATGCTACTGTCACGATATTATAGGATTGCGGAAGCAGCTTATATATTAATTCAAAGTTTGAACCTTTCTGAATTTGCTGGAATATACTACAATCATGTAAGAACTTGGTGCAGTCGATGCACTAAATATTTCTGTTCAGACTACTTACAGTTTCCTGAGAAATGGATGACTGTAGAAGTTATGGACAGTAAAAACACAAACGACGATTGTAGGTTTTAAACCTTGTAGAATTGCAATGGTTGTCATTCTATGTAAATTCTGAGTAAGAACTATGCCGGGAAGATTTAGAGTTATGGTGATCACAGGCTACAAAAAAGAGTTAACTACAAACTGAAAACTCTAAGGTAAATATTTTGAAGCAAAATGTCTATAACAGCAAAGGACGGTTATCAGAATAAGCTGAGAATGTATCTAATGACTTCAAAAACACTATGTGAAACCCATTCACGACCATGTAATTTGTGCATACCATTTCCTTCTTACTTGGATACATGGACAGCCCTTCTTCACTTATTGTGCAAGCCCCAACAAAATTTTCATTTTCGATGTTTTTTTAATAACCAGACACGAGGTTGGTATTATAGGATTTGTTAGGATACAATAATCAACGTTTCGGCGGTTTCGCCTTCAGAGCCGTTTATTTGGTGTAAGAATTCAAGTTAATTGGTGGAATAACACCCGCACAGAGTAATACATGGGTGATAACTGACAGTCAATCATTATGTACTGCTGTGTGCGACTGTTACCCACCAACTAACTTAAATATTTACAACAAATAAACGGCTCTGAAGAAGGCGAAACCGCCGAAACGTCAACTATTGTATCTTAATAAGTCCTATAATACCAACCTCGTGTCTGCTTATTAAAAAAAACATCGAATTACCAATCAATGCCGAGGTTAATAGAAAGTCGGCCTTGGAAATTTTCACTTTTTCGGAGGTTTGTTAGCTTAGCCACTGCAGTTCCCTGGAGTGCCGAGGTCAGCCTAGACAAAGTCTGCCTCAGGTCGTCACCACGGCAAGCGGTCGCCACCCTTGTGGATCAGAGAGAGATTTGCCACCATGCGATTGGTTTGATACCAGGAGAGCGATGGACCCTAGTATTAGTTTCCTTCTACATGCTACAAACATCTCAACACAAGTTTCCTCAGTCATTTACCTCACTACCATGACGACAAAGTGTCCTAAGTTTCGCACTTCCGCATGCGAGTCCAGACGACTGAAAGTACTACTATCTGTGGAATTCAAATTAGTTATGTTCCTAGGTGCACAGTGCAGTTTTTCCTGACCGACGATCACTCTAACATTTGTGCCCAAGAAACTTGTTTATGTGGCAGGATGAACAGTCGAAAAACTATGGGTTACGATTGATATTATTGATTGATTATCGACTGATGATGATTACAATTCGATATGACTCAGGCTGTGGAGTTTGTCTCGACAGGCATGACTCATGTCGTTTCCAATGTTCTAACACGAAAGATGAAGTAAAATAGAAGTAAAGTAAAAGTAAACGTTTTGTTCGAATCTTAAACCTCACCATATCCACATATTATTTTGCTAACTTCCTTGAAAAGAAGGACAGCACTGCAACTGCTCATTTCAAACTTTAATCGTTGCTGCCGATTTTGGCACAACTCAGCCAAAAGACGAAAGATTGGTGTCATAACCTTAACAGAAGTTTGTTAATATTAATAATATTAATATTAATATGGCACACAACAAATTTGTAAGATCCACTTCAGGACTTGATGACCATTCTTCCACAGCCCGCATCATGATGTTGAAAACATCTGGATAACTAAAAAAACAGATTGGAGTAACTCTCTATATTAACAAGAAGCAACAAATTTCCTACAACATACAGCCAATCAAACAAAATCTGGAACAAGTTTTTGGTTGTGCAAGCAACGGCGACACCACGAAGATCACGGCACATGCCTACGACAACTCTCTGAAATAAACTGTGAAGAAACTTCATGGAGGATAAAAGCATAAATCGTTCAGCGTTGGTCAATAGCTGAAAAATGCGACATGCAGTCCACTTTATCAAGCATAGTCAGAGGTCACTAGATGCATATCTGACCTATACGACAAATTATGTAGATCTACCAATGCCTCAAATTAGTGACGATGCCTTCCCAGACAAGGCTATCAACGATTTCCTAAAGTTAAACTGGTGGAAAGCTTTATAAGCTTCAGAACTGCGCAGTCGAACTAGGTGAAAGTACAGTACGCAATGCAGGGCAGCTCTAATCATTATGCCACATGAGCCTCCCGATGCACATCATATCTTTCATAGTGCCGAAAATCTTGGCATAATTGAAATCACAAACTTTTAACTCCTCCTGAGAGACTGCTCCGTTATAATTCTGTGTTGTCATTATAGCAGTTAGTTGACGAGCAGTAGCTAAAATAACGGTTCATGAGACCACAGTTTAGGGAGACGATTGATTTTTTGTCTGTTGAAAATTCTGCACGACACTAAGCAATATTGAGGAAAGGTTAACCTCCCAACGGTTGCATGAATTGCTCGAAAAGTTGCTCGTCGTCATTGAGATCGATTGTGAGAAGACGAGTAAGAGCCTCGTAGAAAACAGTGCGATGTTTCATTGTCGAATAAGGCACAGACTGACCAAGAAATACGAAATGGTCTGCCTAGAATTCGACCTTGTAACCAAACTGAACTACACATTGATAAGTACCAACCCATTAAGACTAGTCTTCAAAATTGTATATAAAGGAATACCAACAGTGTGATTACTGAGAAGAAGTTGTATCTCCTGCAATCGGAATAGTTTCCTGACTGCTGTGTAGCCCAGAGACAGATCTTTCAAAAGTGAAAGCGAAAGCTCCAGAATCTGCTCGTTTGTGGCCCAATATTTCAAATTCGTTAAGCTGAAGGCAACAGATTTCTACTTTACCAATATATAGATCCTAAAAAGAAATATACTTACATCTTCTGAACAATCACGCTGAGCATGTCCGTCTCGTCAGATACACCAAGTTCAGAGTTCAACTTATCATAAACAGGACTTGACTTTGTAATCTAAATCAAACATAAGCTTCACCCGTTTGTTTGCAGAGTGATATAGACAGACAGTATTCGTTTTCCGAACGCAAACACAAATAATTAGTAATAGGATACGATAGGAAGGATAAAAGTGTTTTCGATCCCCACCGCAGACACCTGCGGTCCGGGGTCCCGCAAATATCTCAGAATCATTCCCGTTGTGTTTCACATAGTACGATGTCATGAAAAATTAGTAGGTAGTAAACAGAAAGTTAAGATTGTGATTTCGAAAACAGCTTCAGCTCAACTAGGCTTGTTGTTGGCACTGAAAGATAAAAAACTAGCTGAGAGAAAGGCGAAATGAAGAACCCTCTCAGTGTTCTGATGAATGCGTTAACCTCAGAAAGGGTAACAGCGTGTTTGATCCCCACCGCAGATACCTGCAGTCCGGAGTTTTGCAAATATATAAGCACCATTATAGAAATAATTAGTATTTGGCAATGTAATCAGGAATATATTTAGCAGTTAATCGTGAACTACATACCTGGTCCATTATATATGCACGACGAAACTGCTCTAGTAAATGAATAAATGCAACCTAAATGGATAAAAATGCGAAAGCCTTAAACTCCATTAGAAGGACAAAGTTCAATCAAGTTCGTACCTCCAATCGAACATTGCCTTTCCCTGGATTGGCATTCACAGTTGCAGGAAAGATAAGTCTATTGTCGTTAATTCTCATGAATTTCAGACACATGAAATGTAGTAAATAACGCAGTGTTAGGTTTAGAAGAGAAAACGACCAATATGCTTATGAAAACCATTACGGACACAAGAACAACCTTACCTGGAGACAAGATTTCCATCCAGTTTATCATGGTCTTCATTATTTGACACTGCCGTCTTACCGAACACAGCAGTTCCTATCAAAGTAACCAACCACACAAGTCTTCCCTCCGCTATAACAACACGAATATCCTAAAATTCACCAAATTATCCACTATAAGGAAAAAAGGATAAAGAATAAAGCTCTCGGAGCCGATAAATCCCTGAGGGATGCGCCATGCATTCGACTTCATTAACTTCATTAAGCATCGTTGGAAGTGACTGAATGCATAAAGTCCATTGCGCTACACGCGCCTCTTTACCATAAGGCAATGACGATAAACTATGCTGACATCGAAAACCTTCTGTGATGTACCCAAGACAAAACCGTAAAATATTCAGCAACAAAATAACGATAAAATGTGAAAGCAGGTGTATTGCCGAAACAAACGTGACATTAGACATATTGTCAATTTACCCCTTCTGGTCCAGCTTCCATTATCCTTGCATTTTCGTCAAAAGCACTTGCTAGAAGCTGGGCGGTTTTTTCATAATCGCATCGGCATATTATGGCCAAGTGCTCCATTATCTGAAGGGTTGCCCCTTGGTCTTCTAGAGGATCATCGTGTCCATCTCTAAATCACTTGTTAATCTCAATGCAATATTGAATAAAAAGGCCAATTTTCTAATTTAACAGATTTAAAACCACCAAACAATCTACACGAAATCGCAAAGATATACACACCTAACCACTCTCTCAACGTTCTGAAGGCGACTTTCCACGAAAGCAGTCATAATCTCTGGACAGCATAGATTGAGCAAGTGATCTTCACTACTTCGAACATAAGGTACAGAAGTAACCATACGCTGCCAGAACGTCAGAAGAAAGTACGTACTATTGGCCGACAAATCCATCATCTAAAGTTGAAAACATCGAAAACAAGAAATAATAGATATTTTTGCAAACCAAAAAAAAACTTTTCAAACAAAAGAACAAAAGAACAAAGAAGAAGAACATAGATGAAAAAAATACACGAAGGCTTTCCACGGTGAACTGAGCGAGCAGTCGCATGAGAGCTGCATAATCTGGAACTTTTATAAGTTCACATAACTGGAAGTTGGTCTTCAAACGTGAAACCATTCGACAGAACTCGTGAAATGCTGGCTGAAACAACAATGTTACCTGAATGCTGCAAATCGAAGCGAACAAAAATGTTGTCATAAAAAACCGACATCTCCCACCGGTTCACCGATTCATCGTGGATGGGAGGCTGGGAGGTGTTCCTGGGTGTGGGGCTGCGATGTACAGCAAGTGGATTCATCCTCACAGCAGGGAGGACCTCCTAACCTGAGAATGAATCCAGCGTTTTCATTAGGAACCCCAGTTAAAAGTAAACCAATACTAGAATTCACCACACTCCTGGCATCAAACTAGGCGCATGGTGGCAAATCTCCCTCTGATCCACAAAAGCTGCGATTACCTGTGGTGGTGGCCACGCGGGGCAGACTGTGGCCTGGCCGACCTCGGGATTACAGGGAACCACAATGGATAAACCAGCAAAACTCCGAAAAAGTGGAAAATATGCTGGGGCCCGCAAAACCAGGGAGGAGGGGCTATCCAAGTATCGAAGTAAGGAAGAAGCCAACATATAACAGGGAGCTGAATACCTACTTTGAACCGTGCTAATAGCTATTAAATTATGTACAAAATAGGTGCAATTGGAGCTTTAAAAAAAGAAAAAAACACGTCATTCCTAAATAAAGGGTATAAAAGTCAAACTAGTAGATTGGTTTGGCCTAGAATTTTAGATACATACCTGCTCAGTCAACTTTTCGGGGTTCTCAATAACACGTTTGACGCCGGCTACAATATGTTCGAGGTAGGTCTGCCGTTCGCTACCATTAAAGAGCGTCCTTCGAACACTTGCTAACTGGACTCCGATATGCAAAACCTGAGGAAATGTTTTGTACCGTTCAAAGTTCAATCTGAAAAGAAAAACAGTGACAAACCTTTTCAGAAGCAACACTAGGAAGCTTGATGTAAAGTCCAAATATAAGATCGACCAACTTTCCATCAGTGAATGCTAAAGATGAAACATTAAAGGAAAATGAAAACAAATCTCTCTCATAAGATTTAAATCATACCATTACGCCAAATTGTAGGAACTTGTACAGTATAGTTATCTTCGCTAGTCTCATCGGAAAGGCTACCAATAAAATCGAAAAGAAGTGTGTTCAAACACAAGTCGAGCACAGCAAGAACAAATGGCATCTGTAGTAAATATTTGTCATCATTTAGTTGATAAACCATAAATCAAGGACATGACGTAAACCTGCAAAGATGACAAATCCTTCTGTGAAATGGCACCAAGAAGAGAAATCGACGTTTCGAAAATCTCCAAGATGTGAGTGTCCCGAAATAGGGCGATCCCTTTGCGATGCTTATTTACAGATTCCATTCCCGCTTGCTGAAATAGAATGCATCCATGATGAGAATCATGACTTAGATTGCCGTAATACGACAACTTAAGACCGAAACAACCTCCGTCAAACATTATTTGAATCTTAAGGTTCTCGTTATATGGAAACCTAAGATCGAAAGAACCTCAGTCAAACTTTACCCTAATTTTAAGGTTGTCGTTATACGACGACCTAAGAGCGAAACAACCTCGGTAAAGCTTCACTTGAACCTTAAGGTTGTCGTCATATGACAACCTAGTACCGAAACAACCTCAACCAAACTTCATTGTAATCGCATAATCTAGACAAAGAATTTCTACCTACGAAATAGAAACTGACTACAAGCAGCAATGGGTACACAAGAAAATGTTTGAAAAACCAATTTCCTGTTGGAAGGAACAACTCATAAGCGTACCGAATTGAAGTCCGTAAGCAGAGTAGACAGCAGTTGTAACGCAAGCATACTTTGACTGCCGCCATTCTGAAAAACCAGTCTTCGCCACTTAGGGAATACAAAAACGCAGAAGAGTGAACCCATAAATTTTGAGGTGGAACCCTTAATTCTGAGTAACTGCAGAGCAAAAACCTTCATCAGAATTTATCTTTCCCATCTGAGACTCAGACCTAATTCTGCATCACTCTCCGAAGTCTAAACAACAACGAAAAGAAACGAAGAGCAGAGGGAGGACTAACCAAATTAATGGTAGAAACCATTTCCGAAACAGGAGCATGAAATACGTGAATATCATTGCTATCAGTATAAGTCCATTCCTGTTTTGTGATTCTAGCAAACAACTGACAGAGGGATGAAACGATGAACGGAGGAAATGTTGATGAACGAGATCCAAGTAAGTTGAGAATGTATCGACCTACAATGAAAAATTAGAGATGGAGTTCGTTGACCATGAATATTAACAGTTATGCATGAACGAAAAGAATGCTGGCTCACGGTTTCTACACCTAAAGGACCAGTTCTCAAGCTTCATCCTAAACTAAGTCGCCAACATTCCTTAGGGACAGTTAGAGTAAACCCATGTATGACCCTTATTCTTTATAAAGGTTATTTCTAATAGTACAACCGACTTGCAAAACTTACTAAGCTCGAGTTTCTGGTCAACTAGTATACCAGTCTTTGAATTCAGGAGCTTCATCAAAGTATTGCTAGCAACAACTGGACCATAGGGAAACTGAAACTTCACGTAGTATTGTAAAGACCTAGCGCAATGAATCCACCCGGACTTACGCTTAATTCGTACGTACATCGCCTTGTTCCAAAAGAAGCATACAACGTCGCAGGCATTGAGGTGAGTCGACGAGCTCAGCTAGATTACGTTCAGCTCTAGCCCGAGTGGCTGGATCCGTACTCTCCCCTAACTCTTTGCATAATCTGTTCAAAATCTGTAATCATAGAGAACTGAAACGCCACTTCCTTTAACGAATGTCCGAAAACCAAACTAATACCTCGAGCTCTTCCATATCACGATCGATTCGTGCCAAATACTTCAATGAGATAAAAGGAACCCGTTGCCTTCGGTTTTCGAGTAAATTTCTTAAATGGACGACTATATTGCATCAAATGCAGAAAACTACATAGGCTTATGACATCAATTTGAAATGAAAATGAGTTTAACAAGTTAAAATAGAACTTAAGGAACATTGGAGCAGGAAAATGAGGCAAGGAGTTGGAAAATCTGGATCCGCTTCCAGAAAAACCATCCGGACCGCCGGCGAACGGATAACCGGACACCCAACGGTCATCACGCAGAGCGCAGAGAAGTGAAAGTCCGCAAGGAGCGCACGACAGCTAACCCCCGAACCTCGATGTCCCGGTCACCTTCAAATTTGCCAGAGAAGAACTAGTTATCGTTGAAACTCTTCAAGTAGTTTGGCGATCGGTATTGATTTATATTGGTAATGGACTCGGATCAATCCGGCTTTGAGGAAAGCGGAGAGGATGTCCGAAGCCTTAGCCGAATAGAGCTGTTTGCCAGCCTTGCGATAGCTTATCAAAAAAAGAACCCTTGTTGACTAGCCATATCGAGACTACAGGAAACCTGGTTTTTGAACTATTGGGATTATTATCTGGGAAAACTACAACTTCCGGAGGTGTTTTGCGGATATTCACTTATATCAACACCTTGCCCTACTTTTGATCACTATGTACTTAGACCAAGCGCTGGTAACGTCGGTATTGCCCGACCGTAGCGCGCTAGAATTGTCCTCTAGGAACTCTTCTGGCATGACCATGAACCAAAAGCATAGTATTTTTCGCTTATAGATCTTAAAGGTCTTGTAGAAGAAGTTCAACTTGGGTACTTGGCCCTGTGGTTTGTGTGCTTGGTATCGGTATGGTATGGTAAAGACGCAAGGAAGGCTTCGGGTGGGCTGACCTCGGAACTACAGAAAACCGTAGTTGCCAAAATCGAAAATTCGGGAAATAGAAACTGTGCTGGAGTCCGTACAACCATTGAAGGCTATCCAAGTATCCACGTATCCAAATTTCCAATTATCCAAAGTCCTATGGAGCTTGCCTAGCGGTCTTCCTAGATCTCCACTACCGGTTTTCATAAGTCTGTGTGGATCGAAAAGACTTGTAGCTTCCTCTATAAAGGAGTATTTCAGCAGTACTTCGGTTAACAGCACCACATCAGGTTCCTCAAGGTTTCGCCAAAATTTCACCATGAGCCGACTCATTTAGCTGACAGTATGGGAGGTCTTGTTATGCAAAAGAATTTAACTCTGAATAATTCTTGATAGCAGCGGTCATATCATCTGGTCGGTTCTGATTTCTTTGCGTGCTAGGAACCGTCGACAAGCACCTTCTCTCAATCTGGATTTCAAGAATATCGCAATTATCTTGTGCTATGCTTGGAGTATGGGGGAGGAAGCGCAGAAATTTCTTTTTAAGAACCCATCGTAACCCTTTTTTCGTTCAAGTTTTTTTTCCTATTTTGTATGACCCGTATTCAATTATTGTGCAGATCCTAACAGTTCTCCCATTCGGTTCATTGCCTTGCATCCATCATCAATCAAAGTGTTCGGATTTGTCGGTTTGGTTATAAGTCCATCTTCCCTTCTTCATTAACCTCATACTGTATTCGCCCAGCACAATTTTCGCTGAAACTCCGGAGGAAGCCATTTTTAATGGGAATAATTAATGAAGACGATGGCGATCTGGATGAATATATTTTATTGAAGCACTACAAAGGATAAAGGGTAAAGCTCCCCGGCGTTAATCAATCCCTGCAGGATGCGCCATGCATTCGACTTCATTAAGTATCGTTGGAGGTGATTGAATGCATATCTGGCCTTTACAATGACTCGCGGTTGCCCACAGAGCCAATGCTGCCATCCTCTCAGACAAGGCTGATACCAATTTGCCGACCCCGAAGGAATGGAAGGCTTGGTGAGCCATGGGCCCGGGAATCGATTTCCAGTGTGTGTCGCAGTGGTGCCTCCAACCATTGCGCCACACGCGCCCTTTTGAAGCACCATAAAAACCAAAATCGCAGGAAAATGTAGTCGATATTTCCTCGAGTGCCGTATTCCACACTTCGATCCTGTCGCTGAAGACGGGCAAACTTCTCGCTGCATGATTGAAGAAATGGTAGAGAGATTTCATGGATTATTCTGATCCAAAACATACATCAAATTCTCCCAATCCCATTAGAGCATCGAACCAACGATCGCCTCCACCGAAGATCTGCAACTGGAAGCTTTGCAGACGGCAGAGATCCTGGATTGGATAATATTTTGGCAGATTTTCAACGACTTGGCGCCCTCTACTCGCTTGCACTTGCAGAACACATCGTATCAGTCCTGCAGATAAAGATGACATCTCACCAATGGAAGAATTTTCGAAGCTCTCATATCTACACATATTAATTGTACTTTAATGCCGTTTTATTGCACTAATTGTATTTCGATGTTTTTCTTCAATAAGCAGACACGAGATTGTTATTATAGAACTTATTAGAGCACAATAGCTGACGTTTCGGCGGATTTCGCCTTCTTCAGAGCCTGGAAAGGTCAAATTGAGATGCGATCTACTCAGCCAAACACTTTCATAACCCCAGCAGATGAAACTTGACAATTCGATTTGCATTCGCATAAGAAACAGCTTCATTCAAACACCTACCGTTTATTTGTTGTAAGTATTTAAGTTAGTTGATGGATAGCCGCCGCACAGAGTAATACATGGGCGATAACTGTGTTTGTGTCAGGTCATTGGATTAGCCTGAGGTATGGCGCCAGGTCACGCGTGATGACAAGACGCTCCTCCTTGCGGTTCATTTTTGAATTTTGGCATTGATCCAAAACGCTTCAAGAGTTTTACGCGCTGATGTTTTTGATTCGTGCATGAGGATAGCGACTTCTACCTCAAAATGTTCTCCGTTGTGTTCTTGCATCCTATGCGCGCCTAGTGGAATATTTTGTTTTAGTTTAGATTTACCGACTAGGTGTTCTTTTATGCGGACGCAGAGCGGTCTACCCGTTTCGCCAACATATTCGTGCCCGCACGCTTTACAAGAGATCAGATAGACTGTACCCGAACTCATGCAATCACCGTCTCTACCATTGGGGCAAATTATGCAATTTTGCGTTGCAATCCATCTACTCTTGTCCGGAGCAGATGAAGAAGAAGAAGCCGAGAAGCCGTAGATCTTGTAATTCGATGTTTTTCTTCAATAAGCAGACATGAGGTTGTTATTATAGAATTTATATTATATTGCCGCCTATATGACCGTCTATGTACGTCGAAAAACTGATGAAAAACTGAAGTAGATGGACAAATGCTTTGAGTTATTGGACGAACAGTCAGAGTGCATAAAATTCACCCGTTAGAAATCGAAAGAAAACTGGCTTCCATTTCTAAACGTTCAAATCAACCTGTCCGAAAACGGCTACAACACAAAATGGTATCGAAAGCCAAGCAGTGAGAATATAGTGGTCCATTAGCTCTCCTCTCATGCCTCACACACTAAAAGGGAGCTTAAAACAAATATGTTTCGAGCCGCTGCCAGCGTGTGCACAGGTAGAGATCAGAGGGAGGAACCCTCGAAACTGGCCCGCCAAATAGCCATTTCAAATGGCTACGAAGCTGTAGCTTCTCGGCATAGCCATAGAGGAAAACCCACGCCCCAGAGCGATAATTCTAGCGAAAACAAGGGTCCGTTCCAGTTGCCCTTTATTTCAAACGAAACAAGTGCAGCTATAAAACGTTGTTTAATAAGGGCCGGTCTGGAGAATTCGATAAGAGTGATAGAAATGCCATCGAACACTCTAAGACGCCAGCTAGTTCGCAACCGCCTACATGACCGTCTATGTACAAAAAAATTGCATAATTTGCCCAAATGGTAGAGACGGTGATTGCAGGAGTTCAGGTACAGTCTATCTGATCTCTTGTAAAGCGTGCGCGCACGAATATGTTGGTGAAACGGGTCGACCGCTCTGCGTCCGCATAAAAGAACACCTAGTCGGTAAATCTAAACTAAAACAAAATACTCCACTAGACGCGCATAGGATGCAAGAACACAACGGAGAAGATCTTAAAGTAGGAGTCACTATCCTCAGGCATGAATCGAAAACATCAGCGCGTAAAACTCTTTAAGCGTTTTGGATCAATGCCAAAAATTCAAAAATGAACCGCAAGGAGGAGCGTCTTGTCATCACGCGTGACCTAGCGCCATACCTCAGGCTGATCCAATGACCTGAGATGGACCCAGTTATCGACCATGTATTACTCTGTGCGGCGGCTATCCACCAACTAACTTAAATACTTACAACAAATAAACGGTAGGTGTTTGAATGAAGCTGTTTCTTATGCGAATGCAAATCGATTTGTCAAGTTTCATCTGCTGGGGTTATGAAAGTGTTTGGCTGAGTAGATTGCATCTCAATTTGACCTTTCCAGGCTCTGAAGAAGACGAACCCGCCGAAACGTCAGCTATTGTGTTCTAATAAGTTCTATAATAACAACCTCGTGTCTGCTTATTGAAGAAAAACGTCGAATTATCATTCAATGCCGGGGTTAACAGAAAGTCAGTTTTGGGTAATTGTATTTCGTTTTCTGTCATAACGAGCATAGTGTTAGTTCGATTTCGCTCTGGGAAAAACAAGCCTCTCATTCCTCCGTGAGGAAGTTGGTACCGAACTTGTCCGGAAAAGGATCACTCTGTGCAATCCCATTGGGAACGCTCCAACCCAGCTATCATCTCAGGACTTCAGAGAGAATTGTTCGACCAGCATTCTACGACATTCAAGGCGAAATGAAAATTGCAAGGCAAAGCCAAAATGAAGCAGCAACCTAAGCCACATGTAGAAGTTGGATGATCTTCGTGGACAGTGAATGCGAGGAAACGAATCGAATGTAAGAAGTGCTGAGATCTGCACAGCAGACGTGAAGACGGGTCGTATAAAACATATTTCAAAGACAGCTGAAAAAGTTGCTGTTTATCGTAGGTGAGTAAGATTCT